TCACTTGTTATTTTAATAATCTACAATGTTGTATTTGTATGGTCTCGTTAAAAAAGTCACTGATAATTGCCGGCGTGATTTAACTGTGTTGAAAACTTGTTCGGTGTTATTCTGTGCCAAAATATAACATTAATTAATTAGTTGGTTTTCAGTAGATATGTATAATGCGTTATGATATAATTTATTTTTATTTCAGCATTTGATATTCAAGCAGGTTGTTTGCTGCATTTGAGTGATCATTTGCTAAACAATGCAAAGTTTTGCGGAAATATATTTTGAAGAGAGCGGAAGTAGAATTAACGGGAATACTTACTAACGCGGAAGTTATGGTACGGTGTCGTGCGCATAAATAACTTAAATAATTATATGTATTCTACATCGGATAATAATTTTTAAAGAACAGCAACAGGCGCCTCCGCCAAAATTTAAAAATTAAATTTAAAATAATAATTATTAAATTATTTTATTAATAAACTTTTTTTCTACTTCCACCTTTACAACGCCAATTTTTCACGGTTTTGAGACTCAAAGAGTGGTATTTTAAACACGGACGGCTAAGACCGTGACTAAAGTACTTTAGTCACAGGCTTTAGTCACGGGTTGATGTTTGCGCTTGGTGTGTAAAGCGCCTCCACCAAAATTTTATTAATAAATTATTTTAATACATTTCTGCAATTTGACTAATGATTTCTTTCAGAATTAAAAAAATATTCATTAAGTTTGGCTTATGTATCACTGTTTATTTTTTATAAACAAAATCCATACTTGTTGATTTGTATTTACACTAAGTAATCATAACAACGATTATTAAAAAAAAAACATTTGCTAAAGGTTTTACTGACATTGCTCACATTTTGTATTGAAATTTATGTGTCACATATATTTCGCTCATTCGAATTTTAAAATTCGAACTAGAATTCATATAAATCTAAAATAGTGTTTCCCTATTCTTAAAAATGTTCCTGCGGTCATTTTATAAATATACCAGTCATACCATCCTTACACTACCACAAGTATTCAGTCACCAAAATGTCCTTATCCACCGTTCTCATTCCGTAATACACGCATGGAACCCAACATCACAACAAAAATTCACTTTTGTAAAACACATCAAAAGGACATCCTGGCGAATGGAAAGTTCTTCTTCACAGTTTCAACCACCAGAACCCCAAAAGCAATCTGGACCATCTCCAATTATACCACAGCCACCGCCTGTTCCCAAAAAGCAAGAAAATCAACTGGAACAACTGAAACCAATTCCGTCTGAGCTTACAAAAGAAGGGCCAAAAATGATCACAAAAGTATCCGAAACACATTTGGACATCACAAGTAAAAAGTTTGGTTGGATCGTGTCGGGAACAGCAATTGGTTTGATGTCTGCGTTTTTTGGGAAGTTATACATGCTCTTTGGAGCTGTTCCATTGTTTCTATATCATTCAAAAGATCTGGATGTGTTATCAAAGACATTTAGTAGAGATTCAACGTAATATTGCGTCATTACAAGTTAAAAAAATAATACACATTGATTTTATTTAAGGTTCTTGTGGAGGTATTCCAAATGTTGGCTGCTATCCAAACGTATCAAAAACAACAACTTAACCTTATCTAAAGTCTTCCAACAACAAGAGAAGAAACATCCAGATAAACTAATGTTACAGCTACATGATCAAAACTGGAAGTATAAGGATGTAGCAAGTTACGCCAACAGGACCTCTCGTTTAATGCAAAAGTACGGTTTTCAAAAAGGAGATGTCGTTGCGATGTTTGCGCTGAATAGTCCTGAAATGGTCGCCATTGTTCTTGGCATGGCTAACATCGGCATTATAACAACACTTATAAGTACAGAGCTACGTAATAAAGGTTTAACAAAGGCTATCAAACAATCGGGATGCACGGGAATTATTTTTGATGACGAATTAATGCATGGTAACATTTAGTTCTAAAAATGTAACAAAAATAATTTAAATGAATTATTTTAATAGCTTTTGGTGACGTTTATAAAAACTTTGAAGGCATTAAAATCTTTCAAATGAGGCACAAAGCCAAACAACCAGAATTTCGTGTGTTGGAAGAAGAATTATTAAAGGAATACAACGATTTACCGGAAGTTTTTGTCCAAGTGCATCATGACGATCCTCTTCTGTATATGTTCGCACCGGAAGACACCGTTTTTAAAAACCAATTGTCATCACACATGAAAAGTATGCCTAACACAAATTTATATTTTAAAAATCTTTAAATGTATATACTTACAGATTTTTATATAATGCAAGTGCCACCGCAATGATGCTTGATCTAAACGCTTCTGAAAAGATTTACAATCCAACGCCATTACATGAAACATCCGGAATGATTTTGGGTATTGGTCCCTCAATTACAAATGGCGTATCCACTGTACTGCGCTCCAAGTTTTCCGCCTCGGATTATTTCCGGGAGTGTTACGTTTACAATTGTACAGTGGGGCAATATTCAGGAAGCATGTGCAAGCAACTTCTTCTGAGTCCTGTGAGTCCAATAGAGACTTTTCATCCTGTCAGGGCAATGTATGGTACTGGATTGGAAAGTGATTATTGGCAGGAGTTTGTGGACAGATTTGGGACGAAAATGTATGAGGTGCATGATGTTTCACAGGAAGACATTGATTTAAGTAATTATAAACAATTATTAATAACCTTTAAAAAATAAATTTTATTTTTGTTTAGTTAACTTTGAGGGCAAAATAGGAGTACTTGGTTTCCGGCCAAAACTAATTCCTAGTTTTGTATTCCCACATTATGTAATCAAAGTATTTGGGAAGGAAAACATTCCCGTTCGGAACGCAAATGGATTATGTCAATTGAGTGAATATGGTAAAACATTCAATAAATTTATATAAAACAATAAGATTAATTATTCATTTCAGGTGAACCTGGAATGTTAATCAAACTGTGGACGGAAAGTGAAAATTTACCTCCAAATGTAAAACAATCCAAAACATTTTCAAAGTAACGGTACTCCGCCATTTTATATTTCTATATCTAATTATTTCAATCCTAGAGAGGTGATATGGCTATTACAACAGGGAATTATTAACAATTGATGAAAAATTATACCTACGTCCACTTAAAAGCATCTTGATAAATCCTGGATGAATAAACTCGTTACATCTGAAGAAGTGGAGTACATAGCATCAAAGTTTACTAGTAAACGATGTGTTGCGTATAGTCTACCAGTAATAATACATTTTAACTGTTTTTATTATTGAACTTAAATCCATATGTTTATTTCAGATGGGATACAAGCAAGACATTGAAATACTTGCAATAGAAGATCCTAAGAAGACGTTGGATATGAAAAAGTTTACAGATGATCTGATTGACCATTTGCCCAAGAACTGGATACCACATTATGTCCGAATCGTAGCCAAGTTTGAATTACTAGCTTCAAAAAGGTTGATAAACAACGTTTAATTAACCAGGGATTAAACATGGAAGGTGATTTGGTTCATTACTTTGATAAGAACTTAATGTGTTACAAGCCATTAATCTGGACCACAACAAATCGGCCACAAATGTTTGTAAACGAATCAAAAATCCAACCATTAATGGAAGCTGATATGACAGTACCTGTGGCTTCCCCACAAGAAGAACTCAAGGTTGATAAGGTGGAAGCTACTCAAAGTAAAACAAACAATATGACTGTTAATAAGAAAATGGATGCGATAAAATCAAGAACCATTATTTCAGTGACAATTACTTCACCATCACAGGAAGCAAAACATCAGACTGCTCCTCTAGTAAAAGAAAAGAAACCAATCACACATTATACGAGTACTAAACCCATAGTAACCAATATTCTTGATGCCATTGAGACAGCTAACAAAGCAGAATCAATCACAACACATCCTCCATTATCAGATCAAACAAGAATGGGAGCAAGTACTAAGCCTGCAGAAAAAGACAGCGTATCAATCAAAGCTGAGCCTAATAAAGTTCCAACAAAATATAATATACTGACAGAACCAGTCATGAATAAGGTATTGAAAGAACGATTTTCTGCAGAAACCAAAACAAGCAGCACATCACTACGAAAACCAAACAGCACATCGAGTTTAGTAGATAAGAAGACCGCCATGTTGATTAAGAACATAACTCAGTTGAAAGCTGATGCTAAAAGTATCGAAAAATCATCAGAACCACAGAAAACTGAAACAATACAAGCTAAAACAACTGAAATAAAGAAAACTGAATCAACTGTGCTTTCAGTGACTCCAGAAGCACCAGCAAAAGCAAAAATAACTAACTCTGCAGGACAAGAAAAAAACCCTGACACAAACAAGAAATTATAAACTGAGGTGTTTGGAATATTCAGGATGTAAATCATGCATTGATTAAATTAACTCACGCGGTTTCGTTACACATTTTGCATTTATTTTCGAAAATAAATATAATAAATAGACAACAAGATAGCAATCATAATCATCGTGAAAATGAAACTCTAGCCAAAACCGACGGCATTATGTTTACAACTTATTAATTGGCAGTTTCACGTGATTACAAATTCGGTTAATTGAATTTAGAACACCACAACTAGTCAAACGAAAAACTCACGACTCTAGCATTGTCGTCTTAACATAACTGTATGTACAAATATTGCCCAGAAGGTCGAAAACAAAAGTATGTACAAACTAGATGAACTTAATTAGATGCAAAATCTGCTTACTCATTTGACGCGCTATAAAAATACAAGTATATACTTGATAAAAGTTAAAAAAACCGAAAATACCTAGTAACAATTCGTAGGAAACAGTTGGAATCAACTACATGGGTTCGTCTAGAGCTTTAATACTATTACAAACGATTTGAATTGAATTTTCAGGAATGTTCGTACCCAATTTTAGGAATATGGAATTGTGACGTGTCTCACAAGCATCCCAGTCATATTGAGAACTTGCTAAACTGTATCGTACGTTTTAAAAATGTGGTAGAAAAGTGGAAATCAGAGAGGGGACCCGCATCACCAAGGTTTCGTTAAAATCTCATCAACCATTACCAATTTTATCATCCGTAATTCGTCAATTCGTCAATTTTCTATTATGTAAATGTTAGATATTCTCTGAGAAACAAACCTGCGGCATGGCATCCGGCCCCTCTCGGTACAAGGTACTATTCATCTAGATTCCTCGCCCTACTAGATTATTTACCATCTGAAAACAAAGCTGCATGAGTAAAAATTATTCTCGAATGTAAATCCCATCATTTGCGTGATGTGTCTTTGGCCGAATTGATTCCGAATCAGAGAGAGTGCAAGTATTTCAATTCATTCATGTAATTATTAGAGTAACCATCAGCTGCGTGGCAAGCCTTTGGACGTTTGACCCTTACCGACTTTCGGCCGCGAGCCGAACCACGACATTTTCCACTCCAGCGTGTCATTGAGCAGCTTCTCCTCTTCGGGCGAAAACTTCAGCAGCGTGGCGACGGCGCGGGTTAAATGCTGCGCCTCGTACTCACGGCTGGTGAGAAACTTGATGATAACGTGCTTGAGGTATGTGAAGTTTACGTCGTCGTCGTCCTTGCGCAGTCCTGTATATTGGTGATTACGCGTTGTAATTTGACTAGGAGTTAGAATTGCCGCTGACTCGTTGCTGTCGAAGAATGCGCTGGAGTGATTCGTGGTGCGCAGTTCTTGTTGTAGCGTTTTCTTCATGTCCGCTAGGCGTAATTGAAGTGTCTTTATATTCTACAATAAACACAACAATTTATTACTCAAAATAAACAAAAAATTCACTGTTTATATAAAAACCTTATTTTTATCAGCTAACTGTTCTTCTAAAATCGTCACCGTGTTGCGTAGTTCTTGCTCCACGCCCTTGGTTTCCTTCTCTTTGTATTTATTATTATCATCTTCTAATTGGTTAATTTTATTTAGCAAATCATTCATTTCGCTTTCCTGTCGCCGCGTCTCTTGCTTAGCAATTTCCATCTGTTGAGATATTTCAGCATTCCTCAACAATGCAGTGTTCTTCTCAGCCGTTACCCTCGTCAACGTGCGTTGTACATTCAAACTATTCCTCTTCTCCTCATCTAGGTCCTTCTCCAAATTAGTAATCACCTGCCGCAGGGAGCTATTCGTTTGATGTTCGGAATCCACAGACAATCGAAGTTTACTGCACTCATCTTCATGTTTCTCCAACTCACACTCGGTGTTCTCCAAGTTTTTCTTCACTGCCTTCATTTCGATTTTGGTGTTTTGCTGCAACGAAATAATTAAGTCATACTTGATATTTACACCACCAACATATAAACATTTACCATCTACTATTAAATAAATAAAAACCAAAGTGTAGCAGTTGTGAACATTAGTAAAAATATGTACAGCGGCGATTAGTGTCTTGTGGGTTGGTTTCGTGTCGTCGGGTTGAAACAAGGAGAAAAAAACAACATTTTGCTTGCGACAAACAATCTTAAACTGTATTACAACGTAATAAAATAACAAAAATGGTAATATTTAATCGGTATTGCTATAAAATCATAACATACATATAAAATTGGTATTTCAAATGGTAACAACATCCAACGCCTAGAATAAAAATTAGGAAACATAACCATCTATGTATAAATAATACCTATAGAGTTTCAAGGAATGTGTCAGAATTCTCCCAAAAGCGACTAATCTAATCAAACTGGATTTGCATCACAAGCAATAGTCCCTCTTTCCCTTAACTCACGATTTGCACGCGCAAAAAAGCCACCTCTTCCTCGGACTCTGACCGCAAATTCTTCAACTCCGTCGACAATTCTTCAATCTCCATTATCAACCGCTTCATTTTCGCGTCTTTGTTATTCAGCTCCAGATTATTGCACTCCAATTCACATTCTAATTGACGTACGCGCTCTAATAAAACATCTTTCTCATCCACGGCACGTCTTCGTTCCGATCCTTCTTCAGCCGCTTGTCGACTCAACCTCCCCACCTAAAACGCCGCATTTATTATATTCATCCAAAAACTATAAAAATCTTCATTAAATTATTATTATGTACTTGTGTTTCTAACGATGCAATTTTATCGCTCCAGGATGTTTTAATATCAGCCAGGTGTAAATGCGCCTCTTCCAATCGCTGCTCGAGAAGTTTCCTCTCAGCAGCAAACTGTTCATCAGAATTATCAGAGCTACTCCTCTCACGTAAAATGGCAACTAGATCGGTCAAATGTCTGCGCTCTTCCTCGCTTTTCGCCAAATCGGACGCCAGCGTGGCCATGTCTCTGGCGCTCGAGTGTCGCAGACTCTCCAAATCGTCCTGCAATCACAACGCAAACCGCTCGTTTGTATGTAGAGAATAATTAGCGACAGCTACTTCAATGAATAAATAAATAAAGCCCACAAGCACATACCTCCTAATGTGTAATTGTTGTAAACAACCGAAGCGTATTGTACTGATTTTAAGCGAACACAAATCATAATAAAAACAAGTGAGCACACGAATACGATGAACGGTGCCGGCTTATTATCCAGATAAAAATGTTGCGCAGTTTTATAATTCTTTATTAAAAATAATAGAAAAGTGAAAAACAGTTTAAAAACATCTAAAAGAAGAAAGAAAAGACAAACAGGCATGAAAAGAATACAAATAGAATAAAAGAAGAATAAATTAATAATAAAAGACCCAATATTAGTAAAAATAGATTTCCCAGCAAAATATTCAATAATTTTAATGTTTTTCCTTTAAAAACGTTGAAATTCATTGCAATAAATCCGTAACTTTAACTTTTGCTTGTTACAGTTTCGTCCGTGAAGTTTTGCGATCCACCTGACCTAAAAAGCTGTAATTATCAGCGCCGCGTTGTAAAATAATTTATGTAACCGAAACGTGCGCGGCGCGGAAATCGCTGTTATCAGAAAAATAAATTGACAAACACACTCGGCGAACGTGGGCCAACCCACAAACAAAAAGTAAAAAAAGACGTGCTGATAAAAATAAATATACAGAGTGTATCTCTATAATGACATACATAAATTGAACAAACAGGTGCTTAAAACGAAACATAATAAATATCCTTATGAATAATGATTGAATCAACCCACAACATTTTCATTGTTCAACGATTGCTGTACATATTATAATAATCAATTGATAACCTAGGTTAATATATTGTTGTTTGGTGTTAGTACAACTGTACATAAATTAACCCAATTTATCCCAACTCAACAATTGATTTAAAATAGCAAGAGAAAAACTTACTTGTACATCACTCAGTTGCTCTTCGAAACGTCGCAGTCTATTCACTTCACTTCGGATTTTTTCCAATTGCTGCGTGGCTTCTTTTAGCTGATTTGACCTGTCTTCAAGCTCTTGCTCTCTTAATAATACTAGATGTTTCACTTTGGACAACTCTTGTGTTTGAAAACTTTCAATCTGTTCTTTATCTTCTTGTCTTTCAACTAATTTTTGCTTGAAATCTGTTGAAAAATTAAAATTTAAAGTTTTGATTTAAAAATAAGTGATTTTTTTACCTTCAACGTTTTTAAGAGATTCCTTTAGATTGTGTATGTGTTTATAAGCCTCTTCTTTTTCCTTCTCTAAACTGCTTATCCTCTTGTCTTTTTCATTCAAGATTTCCTTCAGTTCCTTGTCTTTTTCATCAAGTTTCTTCACAAATTCGGCCTCTAGACGCTGTACTTTCTTCTTGAGGTCCTCGTCGTTCCGCCCCGTCTCGGAGGCGTCGTCCTTTTGACCATCTGAAGACACCAAAGAGTTTAAACTGGATGTAGAGCCTTTACCTCGGAGGGAATCTATTCGCTGCACGGTTGAAGATGTGATTTTTGCGGTCAGTTTCGACAAGTCGCTGCCCGTCTCTTCGCGAATTTTGTTCTTCAGCGAGGCGAACATATTGGTGGTTTTTAGCACTTGTTATCCAGATGTTGTGGTCGCAGTCAACTTCGCTGATAAGATATTATCCGCTTATCAAACGCGAATTAATTGTTTATAGCTGCCAACCCGTAGCCAACACGGGGAGAACTGCATTGTAAGGAAATAAATCCGCGCCGACAACGACGTCAACAGGCGCTGGCGATGTGGCACATTTGGGTTAACAATTAACACCGTCGAGAACAATTAATTGAGTATTTCGTTGCAGAATGAACATAAATTTATGACGGCAATGTACGATTTGCAACTGACTCACAGCTGTCAATGTGTCAACTGGGCCAGTTGACAAAAATGAATGAATTCGTTAAGGAGGGAGCACTGCAAATAAATGTTGGCCATTTTGCGCTAAATAACGTAAGACGTGTGCTACAATAAACATTAACCTGTTTACATAGTGCAAATGTGTGCTTTCAACGCATATTTTATGTATAGTAATTTATGTATCAATATAGGTTTTATTTGTACATTCCGCATATTTTCTGATTGCAACCGTATGCAACTATGAATACCACGGTAATACATGCAAAACAAGTTGCCTAATCGAAATCCACAAGTTTAAATAAATATTCTGATTGTTTCTTGAATTGTTTAAGGTTTATTCTTAATCAACACATTACAACAACGTCAAAATGTCAAAATTATTTGTAGTATAGTCATTAAAGATTACTAATTTATTCATTTTATTCATTCTAAAAATTGCAAAATAAAATGAGCCAAACCGAAAGTCACACGCAAATTGAAGACATTATCGACGCTCGCAATGAAAGTGGACAATATGATGCGCTTTGCAATTGCATTCGACCACAATCCTTATATCAAACCAATCAAGGAATGGCCCGTTATGCATATTCCACTCCAGGCAGTTCTTTCACCGATGACATTCGAGGTTTTTCCACATCCCACATCCTTTTAATTTAGACTTATCTAATCGAAATGTTTGTATTGCCAGATAATATTTTCGTTCAAAACTCAGACCAACGTAACTTAGACTTTGGTCCAACCGATTCTGAGATCACCTTGTGTCGCGTCAAACGCGTAAATAGTCATGGAAAAAAGAGCAAAGAAAACAATAACTGGGACATAATGCATGATTCGGTCATTCCTGGCGATGGAACTCATCTGGGAGAAAGTCCTTCTTTAGTAAACTTGGTAACACTTGTTGTGCCTAATGAAAATGAGAACAGATCGCAAGGAGAATGTTTGGAATATTTGGTACCACTGTCATCATGGGAACCAGCTCAAGCAATCGACACGGAAAATCAAAATGATTCAATAAATAATAGAATACAAGCTATTTTAGAAAATCATTACAATGAAGCTGAAACTACTGATAGTTCAGAAACTATCACAGAGTCGTCAGTAACTAACAAAGTCGATGATAATTTAAATAAAGTTTCAGAAAATTCGTTAATAAGCAGCAAATCAGTTGAAAAACAAAAAAGTACTTCAAGTGTGCGTGGTTTGTTTAAACGAATGGCGTTTTGGAAGCGGAAATCAAAAGAAAATATCGATTTTTCATTAAAATGCAAAGATAGTAGCACTTCTACTTCACGAAACTAATTATTTTTAACGTTTAAAACTGTAAATAAATATAATTGACTTAAATGAGTAAGTTTTTGATTAATTCTGAGTTTTTTAATTGCATACAAGTCATTTAATAGTTAAATTTCATTTCGAAATCACCAATTAGTTAACTAATATCGGATAACGCAGCTGAAACTAATTTGTTATGAAATCTTTTAATAATCTACAGCACTATGTACAATCTGTACAGGTGTGCTGGATGCGTATTTGTATAAATTGTGATAACACATATAAGCAAATAATTTCATCCTGAAAGTTATTACCTATATTATCAATACTCAAAAGCGTAAAAATCCCACAAATATGTATTTAGGCCCATACCTATATGAGTCTAACTATCGGCATTTTGCGCCAATCGCAAACATTTATAAATATCAGTACAGTAAGTACTCTGTACGCACATCGCACGCAACGCATTACATGTGCCACATCCAATACGTTCGGTACATATTCAGCGCGCATTTGAAATTAAAGTGGCACTAACAGCAAGTGATAACACCGAACATGAAGCGTACGAAGCGCAGGTACCCCTCACAAATTCTCAAGTAGTTGATAACGATGTCATCCACATAAAAAATGTAATATATTATGCAAAAATGCAAAACTACAGTTGAAATTGTTCTAAAAACAATCCGAAAATCAAGTAGGTGAGTCTAAATTTAACCTAAAATGCAATAATTCTAAATATAAACATTTAATTCGAAACATATTTTAGTTTATTTTAGTGTGTGGCGCAAATATTTACACAAAAATGGTGGATTTGAGAAGCATCGAGCATTTATTCCATGCTCTTGAAGTACTTGGCCAAGTTATACCATCATTCTTCCTGACTGTGATATGCACTACTCTGTCTGCTGCCTTAATCACCCAGCCACACAAAACAATCAAGTTCCTCTGCATGGAGTTTGTTTTATTGGTGGTGCCAATTGTTTTATTCAACACTGTGCTAAACAAATACCCTGGAACCATCAACATCATACTGCTGGTAGTAATGGTGATAACTATCTTTCTGTTTCAAAATCAAATCAATCAGAAACCTCATAGAGAAGCTGGAGATTACAAAACAAAAACATCTGACAAACCATCAACTAAAATCTTAAATTTTGTGACAAACTCAAGAAGCATCATCAACCTAATCGCTGTGGTTGCAATATTAGCAGTGGATTTTACAATATTTCCAACACGCTTCCACAAAACAGCCAGATATGGCGTCTCTCTAATGGATGTGGGCGTGGGGCTCTATATGTACGGAAACGGAATCGTCGCATGTGAAATACGCGGCGTTCAACATTCAATCAGGAAAACATTCGTCAACGTCCTGCCGATTTTAGTCATCGGTGTGTTGCGTTTTGTCACCACTTATCTAACGCACTATCATGTCAACCCGCATGAATACGGTGTGCACTGGAACTTTTTTATTACTCTGGCTGTGGCCAAGTTGTTGAGCGCTGTGTTGATGACATTAATAACGCCTTCGTTCAAAACCTGCCTTGGAATAGGCGTAGCTGTGATTGCAATGCATCAAACGCAATTATCTTTGGGTATCGAAGAGTGGGTATGGTCGGATGTAGGTAGGGACAATTTAATCACTGCAAATCGCGAAGGAATCATCAGTACTTTCGGATATGTCGGAATTTACTTCCTGTCAGTTGCTGTGGGATTCATTATTCATAAAATCAAACAAAAAATGATAGTATTCTGGATACTATTGACTCTGAACATCGCCATTGCTTTGTCAGCAATAATTCTACACGAATTATTCAATATTAGTCGATGTTTGGCGAACAGTACATACATTTTATGGATACTATTCATCGGGTGCTTGATGTCGTTTCTTCTGTTTTGTTACGAATGTTTCCTGAATGTTATTTATACCAATCACGACGCGGTTGTTTACTGCCCGCAACTTTTCGAAGGAATTAACTACAATGGTTTGACGTATTTTCTGGTAGCTAACTTGTTGACCGGTGGGATTAATTTGAGTATGAAGACATCCAGCGTGAGTGCTGAACTGGCACTCGTGATTATTCTCTTGTACATGTGGATTAATTCCGTGATCGTCGCGTTTCTATTTTCTAAGAAAATTAAATTAAAATTATAAGTGTTTGTGTACATATTGCTTAAGAAAAATTAACACTGATGCTAATTTTGTTACCTGTTTACTGTTTTTATATTTGTTACAATAATAAATAATATAATTATATATTCGTAATTAATACTTAATTGAATGAGTCAATTTGATAGTTTAATATGCACCTGAGCTTCAAAACACCCTGTTTACTTCAATAAGTTATATAAAATCAGTTAAATTAAGTAGAATCACATTTAGTATGAGTATTTTTTGTATATTACTACTAAGTTTATGGAAATTCAATCAATTTTGTTCGTTTAGTTAAAATTATTGGAATGTTATTACTATTATTCAACAACTACAAAGTCATTACAACTCTCATAGCTCATCTTTAAACATTTCTTTTGCACTTTTTCTCTCCTCTGCAAATTTATCAAAGTCACTATCAATTTCAATACTCTCATCATATTCTAAAGCTTCGATTGTGCCTGCGATTTGATTAATATTCGATGTACAGTCTTCATCCACACAATTCTCCTCTAAATCCTTTTCAAATGCAGGATGTTCCTCGACGTGTCGAACAGCAGTCATTACAAGCCGCACAAATTCATCAACATCAAACGAGTAATTCGTAAACTTCGCGTGTGCAGCATGCGCATTCTCCGGATCGTTTTCATCAAACTCTCGTTTTAACAATTCGTCCTTTTCCCACGTCACATATTTCAATCCGCGAAGACGGGCTAGATCTGAATAGCAATTGGGATCTTCACAGTTGTACCTAAATAAAAATATTAAATATATTATATGCAAAACAGAGTAATTTTTTTACTTACAATTCAAATAAAGATGCCCAATCAGGCAGAAACAATAAATGTGTTAATCCAGCTCCATGCATACCTATCAACACATCAGTGTTTCTAATAATCTCCAATTGTTCAAGAAAAGGTACATCTCTCGTAAAAGAAACTTTTTGTACTTCAATTTCGTCGATATTTTGCAGCGCATTCATCAACTGCGCTTCGTTGATGATTTTTCGATATTTTGTTTCTCTTGATAGCAAAGTAACAATAACATTGGAATGTTTCCGCTTCTTTTTCGGTATTTCTAGACGATGCAAAACATGCTCAGCGAATGCTTTGAATAAAGAGCTTTCTTCACAGCCGTAGATGATTGGAGTGTTGTAGTAAAGTCCAAATATCATGCGTGGCAACAATGGGAATACAATGTTCTTAAAGCAAACAACTTCACCACGGAATGTTTTTAAATCCAAAATTGGATTCTTTGTGAACACTTTGAAGACATCTTTGAATGCAGAATTGTAGGTGTATGTCTCCCATATCAAAATGTTTATATCCTGATCAAAACCAGTATAATGTGTAGAATTCAAATGTTGTGAAGCATAGAGATTCACAAAATCACAGAAATGGTGATACATGTTTACAGCTAAAAGTTTATAACAATAATAAATAAATATTTTATATTTTTATGTTGAAATACTCAACATACTTGCATCAATTTTCATAATAAAAGTTGGCTTATCTATAATAACATCACATTTGTTTGCTGCCATTGGTCTCTCAGTCATCTCATCAAAAAACCGCATTTCAGGTCCCCAACTTTGCAGTGGACTTAAATGATCTGCATACTCCTGTAGTCTCTCCCTATGTAGTTTACAAAACCCACCAATTTGTCCCTGTTTTAATACATCCATCTTGTATCTTAGAGGTTCTTCTCGATGTGCCAGGTCAGTGAAGTTAATCATTAAATTTCGGCCGCGACAAAAGCGCATATGCTTTGAACATTCTAAACTACTGTCCATTGGAAACAAAGCTTCACATAATACATGAGTTTCTGCAATTTGTTGCTTCACATAGCCAAAATCAGCTTGTGTAAAAAATGTTTCCTCTTGATTCTTCTTAGTTTTCACCCAACCTCTGTGATCACCAGGACAATGTGGCCTGGCATTCTGTTCCTGCCAGTTACAATTTTGTTCATAGCCCCAACATTTATTGGTATTTTCATTTTTTAAATCAATAAATTGGTGATATGGACAATCTGGATCTTCTATGCAGATTTGTGAAATATCTTTGTGTTGAGAGAAGTAAATTCGTAAATGTTCATCTGGCAGATTTATAAAAGTATAGTTTAAGGTGTAAATAGTCGTGGGTGTACATAGGAATAGAAAAAATACTGCTAGAAATTCCATTATTTAGTTAACTTTGCACTTTGCAGTTCTTGTTGATGTTATTTTGGATAAGTTTTGCAAGTCCTCCAAGTTTGCACTAATTATATCACAAATTTTACTTGTTTCATTGTTATTCGTCTGTTGAAAGGCGCATATGTTGAATAAAAAAGTTGTTAACAATAACGACAATAACTGTACATCACAAAAACTCGTAAACTTTGAAAATGTAAGGTTACGCTCATGTTTACTGCACCGATCTGTAATAACACTAGAATTGCAGGTGTCGCTAGTTGTACGTAAATACAACTTCTTGCGCGTTCTTTTCCAATTTGTTTCGTTCTTGCGTACAAGGTCGCGTGCCATCGACGCGCCGGCTTTGCCCATTACTTTCTTATCAAAAACTGTTGCGCCGTTGCTTGCGCGGCTACGGCTTGTGCTATCGATGCAGTCAGTTTCGTGTCGGTCGCCTAGTGGTTCCAGACGTGTTTTGGGCAACTCGTATTGTTTTTTCGGACTTTTGCTTTTTAAATTTGCGTTATATTTGATTATCGATCGAATATTTAATTGTAACAACTATGCTAACGTTATTTATTGTTTCCGCGTTTAATGTACATTGTTGAACAAAATTGGTAGATATTGTAGATATTTTGTTAACGCTAATAATTAATTAACTTGTGAAAAACCTTTTTGTCATCAACAGAGGAGAATGGACCAATGTGCTACCAGGTAAATATTGTCATTTCTATCATTATTATACGAATAAAAGGAATTTTAATGTAAAATCTGGGTTCCGACGGAACGCAGATTAATTTATATATCACTTAAATATTTTATGTAAAATCGGGCACTCTTTATTCACAAGATCTTTGAATTACATGAATCGAATTTTAATTTATCATTAATTTTAATAATTAATTAAATTGTGAGATCACTACCTGTATTATTTATAGATGCCAATAGCATGAAGTAAAAATCATGAATTAGACTTGTTTTGATTATTTTTATATTTATCAGCAAACGTTGGCATTCGAGAATTGTGTTTGTTTTGAGTACGATTTACACTTTCTTATCGCCGTGCGAATAGCAGTCCAAGATTGCCGTGTGTTGTCGTTGCCATCTTTTGCACGCCTCGCTTTGCTCTTCTAGTTTTGTTTAATTCGCCTGTATCGGGTCTATTGCAATTTGTGCACGACGCCGCGGGCAGTCGTCGCGGGCCATCCTTTCGTCGGCTTTGCGCGTTCAATTTTAACACTTTTAAACGCTGTTTCGGAACTTGACGCAACACCCAAGATGCGGAATTAAATTCTACGTCGGGTGGTATTTGTTTATTGCAGGAATTTCACCTGCAACCCGCGAAAATTTGCATACGTGGGTGATTTTTTAACCGTTTTCCGTGAAATGTTTGTATTTTTTCGAGATGCACGCGATCTAGGCGGCGGATTAACTTCAGCGCGACGTCTTGTGATGCGGAATTAAATTCTCCGTCGGATTGTATTTGTTTGTTATTAGAATTCGAGCTGCAACATGCGAAAATTAGCAGTAGAAGTGACTCGTGTTCAGGGCACCCTACGAAGGTAGCGGTAGAAGTGACTCGTGTTCAGGGCACCGTACGAAGGTAGCGGTAGAAGTGACTCGTGTTCAGGGCACCGTACGAAGGTAGCGGTAGAAGTGACTCGGGTCACTTGAAAAATGTCACTTTTTAGCACTTTTAGTCGCGTTTTTTGACCTTTTTCGGTAGGAAATATAATTATTATTTTTATCTGATAGAGAATTGTCCAATCTTTCATAATAAACAATTCGTTGGTGGCTATCTCTTTTAGTTTAAGAGATATTCATTTTTGAAAATCGTCGAAAAAAAGTATCAAGCACCCCCCCTTGGCAATTTTTTCTTAAGAATGAAAATTTTATCTCTCAGATTTCCCTCTTAACTATCCTATCTGATATTCTCTATCATAGTCCGTAGATTAAGACGCTGCAAACAGATCCTATTTACCTATCTCTTTTAGTTTACGAGATATTCGCGATTGAATAAAATGGGCAAAAATTGATAAATGTCACTTTTTAGCACTTTTAGTCGCGTTTTTCGACCTTTTACTGTAGGAAATATAATTTATTTTATATTTTTACCTGATAGAGAATTTTCAATCTTTCATAACCAACAATTCGTTTGGCAGCTATCTCTTTTAGTTTAAAGAGATATGAATTTTGAAAATCGTCGAGAAAAAAAGGTATAAACACCCCCTTGGCAATTTTTCTTAGGATTAAAATTTCATCTCTCATATTTCCGTTTTAACTAGCCTATCTTATAGAAAAAAATCCGTTGATTAGACGCTTTGCGATCGGATCTTAATTATCTCTTTTAGTTTACGAGATATTCGCGATTGAGGCCAAAACGAAGGCAAAAATTGCAAAATGTCACTTTTAGCACTTTTAGTCGCGTTTTTCGACCTTTACTCTAGGAAATATAATTATTTTATATTTTCATCTGATGAAGAATTTTCAATCTTTCATAATCAACAATTCGTTGTTAGCTATCTCGTTTAGTTTGAGATATGAATTTTTGAAAATCGTCGAAAAAAGTATCAAGCACCTTGGCAATTTTTTCTTGGGATAAAATTTTATCTCTCAGATTTCCCTTTTAACTAGCCTATCTTATAGAAAAAATCGTTGATTAAGACGCGATCGGATCTTAATTATCTCTTTTAGTTTACGAGATATTCGCGATTGAATAAAAATAGGCAAAAATTGCAAAATATCACTTTTGTAGCACTTTTAGTCGCGTTTTTCGACCTTTTACTGTAGGAAATATAATTATTTTATATTTTGTCTGATAGAGAATTTTTTCAATCTTTTCATAATCAACAATTCGTTGGTAGCTATCTCTTTTTAGTTTAAGGATATATGAATTTTTGAAAATCGTCGAAAGAGTATCAAAGCACCCCCTTGGCAATTTTTTTTCTTAAGACTTAAAATTTCATCTCTCAGATTTCCCTTTTAACTATCATATCTGATAGAGATTGATTACGTAGATTTAAGACGCTGCGATCAGATCTTATTTATCTCTTTTAGTTTACGAGATATTCGCGATTTGAATAAATAGGCAAAAGTTGCAAAAATTTTTACTTTTTAGCACTTTTTAGTCGCGTTTTCGACCTTTACTGTAGAGATATAATTATTTTATATTTTTTGTCTGATAAGAATTTTCCAATCTTTCATAATCAACAATTCGTTGGTAGCTATCTTTTAGTTTAAGAGATATGAATTTTTGAAAATCGTCGAAAAAAGTATCAAGCACCTTGGCCATTTTCTTGGGATAAAAATTTTATCTCTCTCAGCTTTCCGTTTTTAACTAGCCTATCTTATAGAAAAAATCCGTTGATTAGACGCTGCGATCGGATCTTAATTATCTCTTTTTAGTTTACGAGATATTCGCGATTGAATAAAATAGGCAAAATTGCAAAATGTCGCGCAGCACTTTTGGTCGCGTTTTCGACCTTTTACTATGGGAAATATAATTATTTTATATTTTTGTCTGATAGAAATTTTCCAGTCTTTCATAAATCAATAATTCGTTTGGTAGCTATCTCTTTTTTAGTTTAAGAGATATGAATTTTGAAAATCGTCGAAAAAAGTATCAAGCACCCCTTAACGAATTTTTTCTTAAGGATTAAAATTTCATCTCATAGTTTCCGTTTTAACAAGCCTATCTTATAGAAAATCTGCGTTGATTAATACGCTGCGATCGGATCTTAATTATCTCTTTTGGTTTACGAGATATTCGCGATTGAATAAAACGAGCAAAAATTGCAAAAATGTCACTTTTAGCACTTTTAGTCGTTTTCGACCTTATACTGTAGGAAATATAATTATTTTATATTTTTACCTGATAGAGAATTTTCCAATCTTTCATAATCAACAATTCGTTGGCAGCTATCTCTTTGCAGTTTAAGAGATACGAATTTTTGAACATCGTCGAAAAAAGTATCAAGCACCCCCCTTGGCAATTTTTCTTAGACTTGAAATTTCTAAATCTCTCCAGATTTTTCGCACAACTATCCTATCTGATGAAATTGGTTTCGTAGATTGGACGCTTTGCGATCAGATCTTATTTATCTCTTTTAGTTTTGAGATATTCGCGATTGAATAAAATAGGCAAAATTGCAAAATGTCACTTTAGCACTTTTTAGTCGCGTTTTCGATACTTTACTCTAGGAAATATAGTATTTCTTATTTTTACCTGATAGAAAATTTTCCAATCTTTTCATAACCAACTATTCGTTGGCGGCTATCTCTTTTAGTTTTAAGAGATATGAATTTTTGAAAATCGTCGAAAAAAGTGTGTGGGGTACATTTCATCGTCTGGGCTTTGTGTTGGTACGCTCGGTCGGCAAAGGATGTTTAGTCTACATTTATTTAGTCTGAACGAAAGAACAGAGTAACCTTGTAGCCAGTCTGGGTACAGATTGCTCAACTCAAGGCTCTTTTGACATATTTATTGGTATACTACTGGTAATTACCGGGACCGTCACAGACGACGTATCGCCCTATTCACAATAGCTAACAGACAAACACAAAGACCAGATGGTGAAAAATTCAGATATAAAAGGGACACCGAGGTAGTTCCTGAGTCACGTCAGTCAGTTCTCCGAGTTCATTTGATGTAGAAGCTGGTACGCATTAATAGAGCGCATTACCACTAACTTCGTAATAAACACATCGTGATATTCAAACCAAGTGTCTTCGCATCGTTATAACCCACACTCACCGATCCCACAAAAGTAGCATCAAGCACCCCCGCCAGCGAATTTTTTCTTAAGGATTAAATTTCATCTCTTGAATTTCCGTTTTAACTAGCCTATCTTATAGAAAAATCCGTTGATTAAGACGCTGCGATCGGATCTTGAGTATTTCTTTTTAGTTTACGAGATATTCGCGATTGAATAAAACGAGCAAAAATTGCAAATGTCGCGCAGCACTTTTAGTCACGCGTTTTCGATAACCTTTACGGTAGGAAATATAATTATTTTATATTTTTTATCTGATAGAGAAATTTTCCAGTGCTTTCATAATCAACAATTCGTTGGCAGCTATCTCTTTTAGTTTAAAGAGATATAGATTTTGAACATCGTCGAAAAAAAGTATCAAGCACCTTAGCGAATTTTTTCTTAAGGTTAAAATTTCATCTCTCAGATTTCCGTTTTGGCTTAGCCTATCTTATAGAAAAAATCGTTGATTAAGACGCTGCGATCGGATCTTAATTATCTCTTTTAGTTTACGAGGATATTCGCGATTGAATAAAACGAGCAAAAATTGCAAAATGTCCTTTTTGCACTTTTAGTCGCGTTTTTCGACAACACACTTTGGGAAATATAATTATTTTATATTTTTACCTGATAGAAATTGCACCAATCTTTCATAATCAACAATTCGTTTGGCAGCTATCTCTTTAGTTTAAGAGATATGAATTTTTGAACATCGTCGAAAAAAGTATCAAGCACCCCTTGGCAATTTTTCCAATCTTTCATAATCAACAATTGGTTGGTAGCTATCTCTTTTAGTTTAAGAGATATTAATTTTTGAAAATCGTCGAAAAAAAGTATCAAGCACCCCCCCTTGGCAATTTTTTCTTAAGACTTAAAATTTCATCTCCCAGATTTGCCTTTTAAATATCCTATCTGATAGAGATTGGTCCGTAGATTAAGACGCTGCGATCAGATCCTATTTATCTCTTTTAGTTTACGAGATATTCGCGATTGAATAAAATGGGCAAAAATTGATAAATGTTACTTTTTAGCACTTTTAGTCGCGTTTTTCGACCTTTTACGCTAGGAAATATAATTATTTTATACTGTAGGAAATATAATCGTTTTTTATTTTTATCTGATAGAGAATTTTCTAAACATTCATAATCAATAATTCGTTGATAGCTATCGCTTTTAGTTTAAGAGATTAATTTTTGAAAATCGTCGAAAAAAAGTATCAAGCACTTGGCAATTTTTTTCTTAAGACTTAAAATTTCATCACTCAGATTTCCTTTTTAACTATCCTATCTTATTGAGAATAGTCCGTAGATTAAGACGCTGCAATCGGTCTTAATTATCGCTTTTAGTTTACGAGATATTCGCGATTGAATAAAATAAGCAATAATTGAAAATGTCAGTTTTTAGCATTTTTACTCGCTTTTATTCGACCTTTTATCTTATAGTGAATTTTGCGTATATTGAATTTGAAATCCGTTCTTGACGTTGCACGTACCGTTGAGCGCCATACGAGGCTAGGGGTAGAAGTGACTCGTGTTCAGGGCACCGTTTGAAGGTACCGGTAGTGAGTTGTATTCATAAAATATAAAATAAAAATTGTGCTATTCGGAATTGAAAAAAAAAAACTGGTAAAAGAGGGCCGTACCGCCTCTTGAATTTTTTGTTACGAATTTTTTTCAATTATTTTTTTTCTCATTCTAATACTTCCTATTTTAATACTTTATTTTATAGAGAATATTTAAATTAGTTGCGTGGTTGTGATCATCAATTATTTTGTTAACTAGGGTATACTCGTACAGTAAACTTATACGAAGACAATTAGAAGACATGAAATTACTTATTTGTATTAGGAAATTACACTCTCCTGCTTTACCTCATCCTTATTTCATCCCAAAACCAATATAATCTTTTCTTATGCTGAGAAATTTTGATATTGAAAATTTTTCCTTTCGTCTTCTCAAGTACATGTTTACCATTACGTTTGTTTATAAACAACTTTTTTGTTCGACTGACGCGTAAACGCGACGTACCTGCCTTGTACCTGGCAACGCGCAGCGCACACGGCAGTCGTTTCACCGCGTGGTCCGCGGTCGCGTCTCATTACTAGTCACGCGTTTTCAGACTTCAATTATTCAATTATTAATCGTCGTGTATTCTTTTCGTCATCTGTAAAATATTCTTAACGAGCATGTGTGGCTGTTTTGTTCGATGCGTTGTGGCGGTTAGAGTGTTCTTAAGTAATAAATAAGTAACTGTTACTTTCTGCACGAGTTTTCAGTTGATAAGATTTATTCCGGGATCTAAAATCTCTTCATCGTTACACTGGTAGGTGTGTAATTATTTTTTTTCGCAGAAAGTTAAGACGGTTTATATTAAATTGATTATTTCATTTGAGGGATATTAATTTTGCAAATTACACACACGTGGTAGCATTTTTTTATCTGAATTCATAGCGCTCCGAAAATAACATGCATGAGTTAATTATTACAAGCATTCCGCCGGCACCCATGGTCCGAAATTGTGTAACTAATGTTTTTTTCCTTCTTTATTTCAGTATCTACTCACGTTTGATTTGTGGTGTTCGATACCCTGGTAGGTAAAATTTTTATCATTCATAATATGTGTTTTCCTGATTTCTTGCAATTAGAAAATTGATATCTTTTGTGGAATTCTTTCTTCAATAAATGCTTCAATTACCCTGTATTGAAATTTATTGCCAGAAATTTCCGTGACACGAGTTATATTGAAAGTTGTGTGTTCGCGCTGTAGTACTCGTTGCGCTAGGAATTGTAGTTTTTTTTAATATAGCATGCGAACGCGGTGTCATAATAAGTTCAGACAAATTTCTCCAGATGCGCAATTTAATTCTGTATCACCCTGTGTTTGAATTTATTGCCAGAAAATTCCGTAACGCGAGTTATATTGAAAGTTGTGTGTATGCGCCGTAGTACTCGTTGCGCTAGGAATTGTAGTTTTTTTAATATAGCATGCGAACGCGGTGTCATAATAAGTTCAGACAAATTTTCCCAGATGTGCAATTTAATTCTGTATCACCCTGTGTTTGAATTTATTGCCAGAAAATTCCGTAACGCGAGTTATATTGAAAGTTGTGTGTATGCGCCGTAGTACTCGTTGCGCTAGGAATTGTAGTTTTTTTAATATAGCATGCGAACGCGGTGTCATAATAAGTTCAGACAAATTTCTCCAGATGCGCAATTTAATTCTGTATCACCCTGTATTGAAATTTATTGCCAGAAAATTCCGTGACGCGAGTTATATTGAAAGTTGTGTTTTTGCGCCGTAGTACTCGTTGCGCTAGGAATTGTAATTTTTTTTTGAAAATTTTCCCTAATTTAAGAATTTTTAATCTGTTTTTTTCTATCGCGTTTAATTTTTGAACAAATTGAGAAAAATTAGAAGATTTTCCTTGTTGCTGTTATTTACTATTGCCGCGTTTAATGTACATTATTGATCAAAAGTGGTGATACTTTTCGTGTTTTGTATGCATATTTATGCAAGTTGTTTTAACTTATGTTTTTTTACAGTATTCGCTGTACCATGGAGTCCGATGAGTTCTTCATTAACGTAAATGTTAACGCTACCCTTCTACGGTGCCCTAAATGAGTGTATCTTCTTTATGGATCTTGTAAGAATAATTAATTTAATTTATGTATATGTATATTTCATTTACAGAAACATTTTTCAGTTGTTGAATGAAGCTAGTCATAGTCAATGCTTCCTGAGATAGACAACTTTATCAATAAGGACCAACTGGAGTTCCGTGGTACTGGTGGAGTGCGTATTGAGGATGATGCTATGTTTACTGAAGATGGATGTGTCAACTGGACTAAAATACCCAGAACGTATGTTATATTTTTGCAATTTATAATATTTTATATTTTACTATTCTGTTATTCATTCTGATTTATAGTGTCCAAGAAATTGAAGATTGGATTGCCGGTGTTGATGATGATTCCAAATACGATTGAATGAATTTACAACATTTTGAAGCTCATATTGATATCATTTTTATGTATTAAAAGTGTTAATGTATTAAAATGTGTTAAAAGATATAAAAAGAGCATTATATAATTGCATATTATTATCCTGTTTTCATGCATGTTTTGTTTAAAATGCGGTATATATTAAGAAATTGAGTTTGTGATTCTACATGTTTGAATAAAATTGTTGTTTTATATTTTAAACTATAAATTTTTATTGTGTTATTTGTCCCCAACGGAGAACATAACTCACAACATCGTTACTCCTTTAATTAATCCATAAATCCCTTTAACTTTAATGGAAATGCCACTGCTAGATAAGAGAAATAGTTCAAAATCAATTTTATATTGTATCAATATTAATTTAAAAACGGTATCACTAGTGTCATCTATCCACGAGTAACTAAACTACGCCGCTATTCAAGATTGCTGGAGATTCAGCCTCCTGCACTTTCTGTGATCCTAATATTCAAAAGATTTTTGTGACCAATTTCAATGGATTTCTCGACAAAATTTGTCGAGAAATTTGCTGAAATGTTGCTGTTCATCAGTCTGTAGTATTAGGAACGCAGAAAGTGGACATAGACAGTTCCCGCCGAATTAATATATATATTATTTCAGTTTGTGTCGGTACATATTTTTTCTATAAAATTGCAAATAGGGCCTAAGCAGTTAATGCTAGCAAAAAAAACCAAAATAATTGATGTAGAATTAAATTGTCTATCAGAATTCGAAAACAGAATTCAAAAATTCCAACTTTTAATTTGCATCATAAAAAAGAGAAATCTTTTGCCATTTTTTAATAAAATCTTTTGTCTAAAAATTTTTTGTGCCATTTTGATGATTTTTCAATAATGATGCCACCTTGTAGAGAATTTTTCAAGGATCAAGATTATGTAGTTCTTAATTTTCTAGCCCTCTTAGTTGTCGAGATCCTTCAAAATTTGAAAACCGAATTTGCTGAATAAAGATTTTTAAACATTAATTTTTCCCGCCGTTACTACTTACCACTTCTTTTCATTACTTACCTCCTCACCCTTTCTGCGATCCGAATACCAAAACCTGAGTTTCGACTGTTTCGAGTCCAAATTTTGTGTGATTTTGTCTCCAAAATCGACAAAAATAAAGATTGAATATTAGGATCGCAGAAAGTTGAGGAGGCTGATAAAGTTTTCGCGGCAACTAGTAATGTGCTGCCTCTGGTGGCGACGGACCGAAGCTCAAAACTTTCGGTTGTTGTAGTTTCTAATTGATAGATGGCACTAGCATGCACTTTTCAAAATAAATAGTTTGAGGGATCGTTAAATATGAATATGTGATCAGGTAGAAATAACAGAAATAATTATAATTAGAAAAACTTTAAAATATTCTTTATTAAAGAAAACACACAGGCATACATTTTGGGAGTCAATTTGTGTAATAATCACAACATTTATTTAAGATAATGAAATTTATTACTAACAATCTGATGCAAGAATGGTCCTTCTACGATGTCAGACTCAGGTGCAAAATCCCTAAAACAATCAAAAATTAGTCCTTCGAACATAAAAATGCAATTTTGGGGTCAATTTGTGAGATAATCACAAAAGTTATTAAGGAAAATGATAAAGAAATTTAATACTTACAATCTGATGCAAAAATGGTCCTTCTACGATGTCAGACTCAGGTGCAAAATCCCTAAAACCATCAAAAATTAGTCCTTCGAACATAAAAATGCAATTTTGGGGGTCAATTTGTGAGATAATCACAAAAGTTATTTAGGAAAATGATAAAGAAATTTAATACTTACAATCTGATGCAAGAATGGTCCTTCTACGATGTCAGACTCAGGTGCAAAATCCCTAAAACAAGCAAAAATTAGTCCTTCGAACATAAAAATGCAATTTTGGGGGTCAATTTGTACGATAATCATAAAAGTTATTTGAAAAGAAATACTTACAATCTGGAAAATGATAAAGGAATTAATTACTTACAATCTGATACAGAATGGTCCTTCTACGATGTCAGACTCAGATGCAAAATCCCTAAAACAAGCAAAAATTAGTCTTTTAAACATAAAAATGCAATTTTGGGGGTCAATTTGTACGATAATCATAAAAGTTACTTAGGAAAATGATAAAGGATTTAATTACTTACAATCTGATATCAGAATGATCCTTCTACGATGTCAGACTCAGGTGCAAAATCCCTAAAACAAGCAAAAATTAGTCCTTCGAACATAAAAATGCAATTTTGGGGGTCAATTTGTACGATAATCATAAAAGTTATTTAGGAAAATGATAAAGGAATTAATTACTTACAATCTGATACCAGAATGGTCCTTCTACGATGTCAGACTCAGGTGCAAAATCCCTAAAACAAGCAAAAATTTGTCCTTCGAACATAAAAATGCAATTTTGGGGGTCAATTTGTACGATAATCATAAAAGTTATTTAGGAAAATGATAAAGGAATTAATTACTTACAATCTACCAGATACGGCCCTTCTACGATGTCAGACTCAGTTGCAAAATCCTTAAAACAAGCAAAAATTAGTCCTTCGAACATAAAAATGCAATTTTGGAGGGACGATAAACATAAATTTCTGATACCAGAATGGCCCATCTACGATGTCAGACTCAGGTGCAAAATCCCTAAAACATGCATAAATTAGTCCTTCGAACATAAAAATGCAATTTTGGGAGTCAATTTGTACGATAATCATAAAAGTTATTTAGGAAAATGATAAAGGAATGAATTACTTACAATCTGATACCAGAATGGTCCTTCTACGATGTCAGACTCAGGTGCAAAATCCCTAAAACAAGCAAAAATTAGTCCTTCGTACAGGTCGAATTACTGCAACAAACAAATACAACCCGACAGAGAATTTAATTCCGCATCTCTAGACGCCGCGCCGACGTTAGTGAGCCGCCTAGATCGCGCGCAATAACGAAAATATACAAACATTTCATGAAAAAGGGTGATTTTTTCATGCAAATTATCGACGGGTTCATACGGTGCCCTGAACACGAGTCACTTTTACCGCTGGCCTCGTAAGGTACCCTGAATCGAGTCACTTCTATCGCTAACGAATACAACCCGACGGAGAATTTAATTGCGCATCACTAGACGCCGCGCTGACGATAGTGAGCCGCCTAGATCGCGCGCAAACACGAAAAAATACAAACATTTCACGAGAAAAGGTGACAAAAATCACCCTTTTATGCAAATTTTCGTGGGTTGCAGGTCGAATTCCTGCAACATATAAATACAACCCGACGGAGAATTTAATTCCGCATCTCTAGACGCCGCGCTAAAGTCTCTGAGGCGCCAAAGTCGCGTGCAAACCCGAAAAATACAAATATTTCACGAAAAAGGGTGTAATATTCACCATTTTATGCAAATTTTCGCGGGTTGTAGGTCGAATTCCTGCAACAAATAAATACAACCCAACGGAGAATTTAATTCCGCATCTCTATATGCCACGCTGAAGTTTCTAAACCGCCAAAGTCCCGGGCAAACCTAAAAAAATACAAATATTTCACGAAAAGTGGTGAAAAAATCACAATTTTATGCAAATTTTCGCGGGTTGCAGATTGAATTCCTGCAACAATTAAATACAGCCCAACGGAGAATTTAATTCCGCATCTCTATATGCTACGCTGAAGTTTATGAGCCGCCAAAGTCGCGTGCAAACCCGAAAAATACAAATATTTCACGAAAAGGGGTAAAAATCACCATTTTATGCAAATTTTCGCGGATTGCGCAACAATCTAATACAGAACACAGAATTTAATTCTAGATGCCACGCTGAATTCCTCGCAAACAAAAAATACAAATATTTCAGCACGAATTCCAGGTCAACAGAGAATTTAATTCCGCATCTCTAGATGCCACGCTGAAGTCTCTGAGCCGCCAAAGTCGTGTGCAAACCCAAAAAATACAAATATTTCACGAAAAAGCGTGAATAAATCACCATTCTATGGAAATTTTCGCGGGTTGCAGATTGAATTCCTGCAACAAATAAATACAACCCAACGGAGAATTTAATTCCGCATCTCTATATGCCACGCTGAGGTTTCTAAGCAGCCAAAGTCGCGTGCAAACCCAAAAAATACAAATATTTACGAAAAAGGTTGAAAAAATTATCATTTTATGCTAATTTTTGCGGGTTGCTGGTGAAATTCCTGCAACAAATAAATACAACCCAACAGAGAATTTAATTCCGCATCTCTCTAGGCCATGCTAAAGTTTCTGAGTCCCCAAAGTCGCGTGCAAACACGAAAAATGCATCCTCGTATATGTCACGAAAAAAGGTGAAAAATCACTATTTTATGCAAATTTTTGCGGGTTGTAGGTCGAATTCCTGCAATAATCAAATACAGCCCGAAATAGAATTTAATTCCGCATCTTTAAATGCCACACTGAAGTTTCTGAGCAGCCAAAGTCAGGAGATCAGGAGTGCATCTTAAAAATGCACCCTTGCCCTATCATAAAATCGAAAAATAACTAAAATATGACATTGGGTTCCCGAGATATGACCTGTTTCCCACTGTGGGTTTTGGAAAAATCGAAAAAAGGGCAAACTTTGTTTTCCTTCGTTTTCTATATTACACGCAGAAATTGTCTGATTGACCGTATAATATAACTTAATAAAAACTTACCAATGCAGTGCTCATTGGATTGTTAGGGCACAGCAAGTACTGCAATTAAAAGAAAGCATAAGTTAAAATAGAAACATTGCATACAATATAATATTATATTTATACATCACAGAAAACAAACTTTCTGTGCTGAGTAGCGCAAGTCAGATATAAGTTTCTTACTCAAGTATGAAGGGACCTCCTAATGACGGGATACATCATGGCAACAATATGCATTTGGAATGTAAACATCAAACGCAAACATATAAAAATTATGGACATTAAACGCACAATTAATCATTAACAAAACACTGCAGATGCATCTCACAATTAAATAGTAAATTGATCACCGAATACAATGCAAATTTAGAAAATAAGAGTCCGATAAAACGATACGAGTCGCGCGGCTTACATCTAGATACGCCAGCACCGGCTGCAATCCCGTATTCATCGCGCAGCTTAACGGTGCGACAGTTCCAATAAGACCATGTGCGCACAACATGAACCCCGCAGGTAAAACGCAATGAGTCGCGGCAGCTCGCGCTGGCAAGCGTCTGTAAAGTAATTGCAACTGGAATGTTACCTGCAGTAAACTAAATGGTGCGACTTTAGGCAAGTTACAGATGAGGCACAGGAGAATACCACTTAAAAGGCCGATCCATAACTTCGCCATTGCGAAGCGTCTTGGAGCTTTCATGCGTTCGTTTTGTAAGTGGGTGAACACAGCGTAGCACCATAAAGACGTGACAAGCGATGCACAGCGTGGAAGCGGTGGCAATGGTAACCTACGGGCATTCGATAAGAAAGTGTAAATTGTGTTAAAAACAAACACAATTTTGGTATCAAACGCCCACGTTTGCTAATAAATATAGAAATAAAGAATACAATTCTATTTTATGATTTTTAGTTCAGATAAGTGCGATCTCTAAATGTTCCAAATAGTAGTTCCGCAATTAAGATTATGTAACAAATCAAAAATTAAAATTCGAGTTGTGTAATTCTAACTTCTTATGGTGAAAAATTTTCGTGGGGTAAAAATTGAAAAATGTCACTTTTGATCACATTTGATTGCATTTTTCGATCTTTTACAATCCGCTGGTTGCTATCTCTTTTAGTTTAGAATATTCGCGTAAAAATGAGATTAAAGAAAAAAGTATCAAGCACCCGCACTTGCCCCTTGCCCATTTTTTCTTTGAGGGTTAAAAATTATTTCTCTCTCAGATTCTCGTTTTGGTAGCTATGCATAAAGCATTTTCCGTAGATTAAGAAGACGCTGCGGTGAATCCTATTTAATATACCCCAGTTTACGAGAGATATTCGCGATTAGATAAAATGGGTAAAATTGATAAATGCTTTTTTAGCGCTTTTCGTCGCATTTTCGACAACTTTACTGTAGAAAATATAAATTATTTTATATTTTTATCTGATAGAGAATTTTCCTATGTTTCATAATCAACAATTTGTTGGTAGTTAGCTCGTTTAGTTTAGAAGATATTTTTGAAAATCGTCGAAAAAAGTATCAAGCACCCCCTTGGCAATTTTTTCTTAAGAATGAAAATTTCATCTCTCAGATTTCCGTTTTAACTATCCTATCTGATAGAGAATAGTTCGTAGATTAAGACGCTGCGATCAGATCCTATTTATCTCTTTTAGTTTACGAGATATTCGCGATTGAATAAAATGGGCAAAATTGATAAATGTCACTTTTAGCACTTTTAGTCGCGTTTTTCGACCTTTTACTGTAGAAAATATAATTATTTTATATTTTTATCTGATAGAGAATTTTCCAATCTTTCATAATCAACAATTTGTTGGTAGTTAGCTCGTTTAGTTTAAGAGATATTTATTTTTGAAAATCGTCGAAAAAGTATC